TCTTGAAAGCATCTGGACCAATAAGCCATAAAAATATCATAAAGAGGGAAGGATGAAGATACAACTAGATTGGAAAATAGCTGGAAAGACAGGCAGAAAGATAGACAGACAGACAGACAGATAGATGATAAATAGATAGATAGATGATAGATAGATGATAGATAGATGATAGATAGATGATAGATAGATAGATAGATAGATAGATAGATAGATAGATAGATAGATAGATAGATAGACAGATGCAACAAATAGCCTATAAGGTAAAGAGGGGTTATGAAAAGGAAGATGAAAAAGAATGAAGCAAAGCTGTCTTTGCCTTGCATGGCTACTTCATCAGAAGTGCTTGTAGTTCACTTTATACTGCGTTTTCTTTAATCTGTGGTTGTAGTTATAAAGGGCTGGTGTCAGCATTTCTTTTGCCCAATAGATCATGGTCAAAGATTTGTCTAAATATATGTGTACTTTCTGTTTTAAGGTCAAATGGTAGTTAAGACTGGAGGTCAACCATGCATGCTAGAAGAAACATCGCATTGCTCTACAGTTTCTGAGGTCCCCTTCATCATCTAAATAAATATTGAAGACTTGGCCTAAATTACAGGACTTAAATAGCTTCATACAGACTGGATTTTTTTTTAAAGTCACTGTTCGGGGCTGTCCTTATCTCTTCAGCTGTAGGTGTTTGAATTACTTGTAGTGTCGTGTACTGATCACTCGGGTAGCCATATTGATAGTCTCATCTGATGGTTTGGACTAGGGCATGCATCTGGGAGACAGTGACTGAGAGCTGAAGTGTGAACAGAGCTGAAGATCCTCCTCAAGTAGTGATGACCTAGCTTAGAACCAAATATCTCAAGGTACAGAATGAGCACAACACAGTTTAGCCTCAGGCTATAAACATTGTGCTGGAGTGCTGGGTATTGTCCCAACCACCTCCATGATTTTGCCAGTGGTTCCTAAACACACACACACACACACACACACACACACACACACATACACACACACACAGGCAAGTAGGGAAGAAAGAGTATTATATTTATGTAATTGCTACTTCCTAAGTGTGTCTTACTAGAAATTTGTGCTTGCAAAAAGTGCACTTTAGCTACTAGAACTTCTAAGTATCCATTTTTATGAATTTGCTTTACATAACATGAAGATCTGATACAAATTCATAAAAATGGATACTTAGAAAAGAGGCACATGGAGGTGCCATCTTGCATGTTAAAAAGTGACCCAGGAAGCCGCAGTACTAGCCATAACATGTGTTGAGCCTGTAAGCACAGACATCTCCAGTTATTTTTGGCTGCAGCAGATACGATGTCAGAATGCTATGTTCTTGAGGGTATACATATGAGGACCCTATCCAGGATTCTAGGTGTCCCCAAAGAGACTGGAGCGATTAGACTCCAAGCCAGTAGAGCACACTGAGAATACAGTCATTTAGGTGTCATTATTATAGAGCTGACCCTGACGTTACTTCTATAATAAGTGGTGCTGGGGAATCAGACTTACGTTTGAATCATTGGGCTGGGGAGACTACTCAGGAGATAAAGCACTTTGCAATGCAAGTGTGAGCTCTAGAGTTGAGAACCCCAGATCACACATATAAGGAACATGATGCAGCAGTCCACCTGGAATCCCAGGGTACAGGAAGTAGGGGCAAAGGACTCCCCAAAGGAAGTTAACAGGCTAGACCACCCTAAACAGCAAGCCACAGGTTCAGCAACAGACCTGCCTTGATGTATAAGGTGATGAGTATTTAAAAAGATATATATTATTCTTAAACCTTCCTACGCATATGCACACATATGCACGTTCAACTGCAGACATGAAGACATGCATACATACATGCCTATTCACCGCATACACATATGGAAAAGTCACCAACTTCCATACATCCTTATTGGCAGCAAATCCCGCGCAGCATAGCTCACAGTTCTCAACTTAGTACTGTTTGTGAAGTTAGCATGTGACCCTGAGAGGTCATTTTCTTGGGAATATGTCAGCCCATCTTATTCTAGAGGTGGAGTTCCACTGTAGTTTTATGCAGCCCAGGACTTACTCTAAAGGGGGGGGGGGCAGCATGGAGAACTGAATGTAATTCAATGGGCTAAATATTGCTGATGTAGCAGTCTGGAATAAGAGATTCCAACAAGATTATGCATTATTTTAAGTTTTGGGAGACAATTTCTCAGTATGTGTCTCAGAATGGCCATGAACTCGTTACAATCCTCCTGCCTCAGCCTCTTAGGTTCAGAGATTTATAAGCATATACCAACCTGGCTAGCAATGGACTCTTTAAAATGAAAGCTAGTTTTGGAGTTGATAGGGTGTAGGCTACATGTATTTTGAGGGACAAGCTGGGTGAAGGGTTTACTATTTGATTCTTTTCTGGGCTAAAGGAAGAGCATTCATTGACCTAGGTATAGTTTTGTGGGTTGCAATTGGTAAGACTCTGGGGACTGGCATTATGCCAGCGTCTACATTGTGACCATACCAGGTACTCCCACACTTGTTCAAGCTTCAAGCAGACCTAGCTTCCTTCCCCAACCACTTGTAAGTGCCCCCACCACTGGGAACAAAGCTGCTTGGGGAAGAGTGGAGAACTTGCAGAGCTCAAGTTCCTCCCCCTGTTTTTGAGAGCTCCTTCCCCTCATTTTTCTTCTCTTTGTTGACAGGCAGATAAAGCCCAGCACAGTGAAAGTCTTCGAAGGAATTCATTCAGTTCAACACTCTCAAGTCAGTTAGCTGGTCTAACTACAGAAATGGGAAGCGTGCCTGCAGTCCAAATTAATGCCACAGAACGTGTTTATCACAAGGAAGGGGTGCATATAGTTGCATGAATGTGCGCACGGGCAATCATACACACTTCTGCTTGCACACCATAAGAACAAGCGCTTACTCAAGTCTGCATTGTCAATGATGAGAGAAGCTTTTTTAAAGTCCACAGTAGACTGTAGCACCCAAGGTTTGAAGGTTCCTTCTTCACCCCAGAGGGAAGAGCATGCCATGTCCAAACACTACTTAACATTCAGGGAAGAAAGGTTCAACAGGGCACACCAATAAGGAACCCATGGGACTTGTCAACCCTGACCAAAGGAGAGTTGATGAGTTAAGGGTAATGAATCAGAAACAGATGGATGATATTTTTCTTCAAACACACATGGATTTTGAAATTAAAAGAGCCAAAGGGTGTTGTGAACAAAACATTACTATAAACGACTCGGGCTCTGTTGGACTCTATGGAATTGTTCATTGAACACAGAGTTCAGGTTTTATCATTAATAGATAACAGATATAATCACACATAATCACATAAGCCACTAGCAGAAATAATCCTAGTAAGTTGCTCTATTTGTGACAAGGATGAAAAGTTATCTCAAAAAGTGGTAGGGGCGCATAGCCCAAAGTGGGCTTGATCTCGGGACCTGATGAAGCTGAGGTGCTCTCCTCACCCCACTCCCTTCCTAGAACCCATGCAGACCACTAAGAAGCAATGCTTCAATATTCTACTTTGCTCTCTGTTTCGTTTGCTGTACCTCCTTTACTAATTGAAAACTGACAATAAAAATACCCCCAACCACAAATATCTACAAGAAAATAAAGATATTTGGACATATTGAAATACTTTGGGTTTTATGAGCTCTAATAAGGTTAATCAAGAATTTGGAAAGAATCTTTGTTTCACGGTGGACTCAACAAAACAGTGAGCTGGGACCTGCAGTGTCTGGCCAGAGTGTGTGTGTGTGTGTGTGTGTGTGTGTGTGTGTGTGTGTGTGTGTGTCATGCATGTGTGTGTGTGCATGCAGTGGGAGGAGGTGATGTGGGAGCCAGGACCTGAAAATTTGCTGGCCAGTCTGTTTAACTGTGCTTCTCCTGCTTCCCACACTGATGCAATTCCTGGGCAATGTGGATACTTTCTGTTGCTTGGCCATCAGGTCAGTCTTCTGTCTGTCACTGGGGTTCTCAAAGCTGTGATTGCTCAGCGAGTTGGTTTTCTGAGAAGTTTTCTCTTTATTGGAGAAATGTCCTCCAACTCATTTATTCAGGAATGTTATAAATCTTCACAACAGGGGAAAGCAAAGTCGAGCTCCCATAAGGGTGTCTCCAGTAGGAGGCAGGTTCCTTATGGTTTCCTAGGGAATAAGGGAGGCTCTCACAGCTAATGGAGTCTGCACCCTGAAGTCCTCCCTCCTAGTAACTAGGCTCTGGGGCACCCAGTCAGGTGCAGCTGCTGCGAAGCCTCCACAGACATTAGGGAGGCTGCTTGCATTTTTAGCACTTCCTACCCCTTTCCTGAAGTTTCTCTTTTTTTCCTCCTAATTTCTTCCATGATCTTTTCCATAATGTCCCAGTGATTGTCTCACAAAGGTCGTGACCTGATGCCCTTTCTCAGTTCCCTGACCTTTTTCCTCTCCTCCTTCTGCGTGTGTTCACGTCTGTGAGCTCACACTCCTGTGGCTTGGCAGGTCCCCACGAGACAGCATCCCATAAGACACCCAGGAAGTGATGAGGACTGGAGGCGTCATAGTCTCATCGGGCTGCATCCCATTTCCTCCACAGGGTGCTTGTATGTAAGGATAATCCCGAGTTCCCCACTAGTGCACCTAAGGGTGGATGGACCCCTCCATTCTGTCTTGCAGATCCCTTACTTCCAGGACTCCCATTCAGTAGGGAAGGGCTCTGGAGCCCCAGGAGGATCTGTGCTAAGACAGACTTTAGCTTGTTCTGGGCTCTGTGGATACCAACGCCCATCTTTAGGATTATTGCAAGAAAAAAACAAAGGAACTACAACAGTCTAGCACAGTGCCAGACATACCACAAACCCAAGTTCCTTTCTATTCTTTCGGTCTCTCCGTTATGACTACGGGCTATAAGCTAGTCTTAGAGACTGTCCTTGCCAGGCTCCGGGATTGCACTACCTGCTCCACGTAAGAATTGCTTCCTTATTGGCAGCAGAAACCTGGGCTTCTCCACTTCTCCAGCAACTCCCAGCTTACCTGAGTTATGTTTTGGCAACCGGGTGCTCTTTAATTGGTGAGGATGAGGGTCTTCTCACACATGCTCACACTTGTGTACTGAGTCCTGGTCTGCACGCCGTGGCTCTTGCCGTGTTTCTCCTGGCCAGGCGAGAGGAAGACTTAAGCATGCCCTTCCCTCCCTGGGACAGCTGGCTTTGTCCCCTCAGAGCTGTGGGTCTTCCTTCCCCTGAGCCGGGAGCTATCTCAACTTCCTTTCCCAAGAGATAGAGTTTGAGATTGTGTCCCTCCTCCAGAACAGAAGAGGGGGAGCAGGCCAGGAATCTGGACTCACAGCAGGTTCCCTGGAGTGTGAAGCTCCCGACCGACTTGCTGCTGCGATAATAAATATGGAGGCCTTCAGCAGGAAAATGCATTACCTTCAACTGCTAGGCAAAACAGCCTTGATAAATTGTCATTTCAGCCAACAGTGTTTAAAGTAAAATCAGCAAAGTGTGAGTAATGATGGCTGAGTCAAAAGAACTGTATTAGACACAATGGTTTAACAGTCTGAGAGGAGGGGTCAGGATACAGAGGAAAGTGAGAGAGAGCAGGAGGGAAGAAGAGGGAAAGGGGCGGCGAGAAAGGGAGAGGAAGACAGAGAGACACAGAGAAAGAGATAAAGAGAGACAGGGACACAGAGAGACAGAGATGGGAGATGAGAGAGACAATGAAAGAGACAGAGAGACCAAGAAACAGAGACACACACACACACACACCGAGAGAGAGAGAGAGAGAGAGAGAGAGAGAGAGAGAGAGAGAGAGAGAGAGATGAGAGAGACAGGGACATAGAAAGAGAGAGAGATGAGAGAGTCAGAGAGAGAGAGACAAAGAAAGACAAAGAGAAGGAGAGATGAAAGATACAGAGAGACCAAGAAACAGAGAGAGACACAAAGAGAGATAGATAAGAGAGACAGAGAGATGAGAGAGTCAGAGAGAGAGAGACAAAGAAAGAGACAGAGAGATGAAAGAGACAGAGACACATAAAGAGATAGATAAGAGAGACAGGGACACAGAGAGACAGAGAGATGAGAGAGACAGGGACACAGAGAGACAGAGAGATGAGAGGGACACAGAGAGAGACAGGAACACAAAGACAGAGATGAGAGAGACAGAAAGCAATAGAAACAGAGACATAAAGAGATAAGAAAGACAGAGACACAGAGACAGATAGACACACAGAAAGATACTTTGGATATATTATTATTATTTTATTTTAGTCTTTCTGTAGGGCAAATTCTCAAGTGTCCTGGGCAGAAAGTCAAAAATTTCCATTTCCTAGAGATGTTTAGAAAACATGCTCTCAATTCAGAAACCGAGTGCCTGACTGGACACTGTGCATGTGCCGGATTCTCTCAGTGTGGTGATGCATCTGGAAAGGCCACTGCTCTTAAAAGTTGGTACATGGAAGGATTTCTGGGTGAGGGGAGATGAGAGGACTTCCTCTTGGGAAGGCGATCTTGTATGCCCATGTTTGTGTTGTTCAACCCACAGCCAATACTCACTAGTACCTCGTGGGTTAGGAAAGAAGCTGGATAATGAGTTGGGGGCACTAGGCACCAGCTTGGAAGTTCTAGAATTGTGATTCTAACCACGGGCAACAGGTATGATTGGGAATTTACTAGCTTCAGATTCCTCTGTGAAATGTTTTACACGACTTAAACATGAAATAACTTTCCCAGGGTCATATACGTGGCCCTGGTACAGGCAGGATTCAACCACAGGGTTGTCTGAGGCAGTACTCTTAACTATTATATATA